TAGATAGGTTAGATAGGTTAGAAGAGTTAGATAGGTTAGATAGGTTAGATAGGTTAGATAGGTTAGATAGGTTAGATAGGTTAGATAGCTTAGATAGCTTAGATAGCTTAGATAGCTTAGATAGCTTAGATAGCTTAGATAGCTTAGATAGCTTAGATAGCTTAGATAGCTTAGATAGGTTAGATAGGTTAGATAGGTTAGATAGGTTAGATAGGTTAGATAGGTTAGATAGGTTAGATAGGTTAGATAGGTTAGATAGAATAGATAGAATAGATAGAATAGATAGAATAGATAGAATAGATAGAATAGATAGAATAGATAGAATAGATAGAATAGATAGAATAGAATAGATAGATAGATAGATAGATAGAGAGTTAGTTAGTTAGTTAGTTAGTTAGATAGATAGATAGGTAGATAGGTAGGTAGGTAGGTAGATAGGTAGATAGGTAGATAGGTAGATAGGTAGATAGGTAGATAGGTAATGAGATGAAAGAGAGAAAGAGAGAGATAGATAGCTAGATAGATAGATAGATACATAGAAGATAGATAGGTAGGTAGATAGTCAGAGAAAGAGAGAGACAGAGAGGAGACCTCAAGCACTTTTCGGTCCATCAGTGGATTCGCTTTGCCATCCCTGATTCACAACAACCAACCTCTCCTATAGGTTTCCTATTTTTGAAACTTCCGCCACCGCCTTGTGCGGTACTACTGGTATATATATATATATATGTGTGTGTGTGTGCGTGTGTATGTAGGGATATAGGCACGGGCACAAACTTTGAATGAATTTAGAGATGATTACAAAAAAAAAAGCATATATATATATATATATATCTAAATACCTTATATACGTGCACCTGTCTGCAATTCATTCACAACCGATTTTTCTTCATAGATAAATTATGAAACCATGTGTGGGAGAGTTCAGTTCCCCATTCCAGGCGGCAGGTGAAAGATGGCTGATTTCTCAAGTCTGGCACTCAAAATGCAAAGCCCTAGCAAAATCCATCCAAAGACCATCCCAAAACCATACAAAAACCAGCAAAAAACAATCCAAAAACCATCCAAAGACCAGCAAAAAACCATCGAAAAACCATCCAAAAACAGTTCATTTTTCCTTTTTTATCTTTTCCGCCATGAATCCCATGGATCCCATGATCTTTACCCTTCCCAGGTCAAAGGAGAAGCACGAAGTCACCGGGGGAGTGCCCTCATGACAAAACGGAAACCTCCACTTTTTGGACCCTATTTTTTTTCAAATTTTTAGGTCGTTCGAGGAAAGGGAAAAGAGTAAAGGGACAGAGTAAAGGGAAAGGGGTAAAGGGAAAAGAGTAAAGGAAAGGGAAAGAGAGAGGAGAGGGAAAGGAGGGAAAGAGTAAAGGGATGGAGAGAAGGGAAGGGAGTAAAGGAAATGAGTAAAGGGAAAGGAGATTGAGAGTGTAGTGCACTGCTCAACCTTATGGGAGAGAGCTGCTGGGAGTCTCAGTGACACTAGCCAGGTAAGTCTGTGTAGGTTAAAAGACGAATGATAACGTGCCTTGTAACACACACATTGCTTCTTCTCTTAAGAATATGTTTTTTAATCAACAACAAAACTAGAGCCCCGGCCCATCACCTCCTGATGCCCTGGAAGAAGAGGAACTGAACGGATTCGTGAAGGTGGCTTTCCTGTGCGACTTCGTCGCGTCACCCCTGATTTTGGCCAAGGTCGGGCAGTTGTCTCCTTCCTGGAGATAGGGCT